CCTCGGAGTTTCTCTCCAGGGAAGTGCTGGGTAGCATCAGTCACAGAATCCTGGGCTGTGTCCCCAGCTGGCCACCATGTCTTCCAGGGACTGGCTCCTCGAGAGGCTTCTGGTGGTCTGCTTCTGATGACCTCTTTACTATTCGCTCTCTGGCTGTGTGGCCCCAGCTGACCGGCCAGCCCTCTCTGTGCTTCAGTTTTCTTACCGGGAGACCCGAAAGCTCAGATGGGATGAGAGTTACAGAGAGCCCATCTGTCTTGTGATGTGGCTGGTGCTGTGCCTGACACGTCCTATCCCAAGAGTCTTGTGTCCGGGAAAGCCTGGGTCAGCAGGATGTTGGCGTCTCAGGGGACACTGGCGGGACTGGGATTGTGGGGCTGTCTGGGAATCCTGGTGGAGCACATGGGTCCTCTCATGGGCCCATATTTGGGCCCAGGCTCGAGCTCCTAGTACCCTCCTTCTCCCAGTTCCTGGGAAGCCACTGGGCAGTGCATAGACCTCCGCAGAGACCCTCTCCTCTCCTAGGCCACCAAGCATGGGGAGGGGGCTTGAAGCTGATCATCACATTCATCTCTGCTTCTTGCTTTCCCAGCTGATGAGCCACTCTCAGGGCGCCCTTATCAAGCCATCAAGCCTGCATTGTTGCAATCAAGAGAGAGATCAGCTTTATGACCACATGATATTGGAGGCAAAAGATGATAACAAAGGCTCTTATCTTGCAGTGAGCTGCAGAAACACCTCAAAGCAGGAGAGGCAATAACACTGGTGGCTTTTGCATCTCTACTGCGTGCCAGGCGGTCTGAAAGGTTCTTTACATACCAAGACCTTTCACGGAATGTGCACGACAGCTCTAGGAAGCGGGCGCCATCGTCTTCATCTGACAGAGGCTCAGAGAGGGCCGGCACTTTGTCCAGGGTCCCACAGTGTGTATGTGGCAGGGCCCAAATTCAGACACCGGCCAGGGGACCCCGCCCTGGGGTTCAGCATGTCTCTCTACAATACGGGTGTGAGTTGTAGAATGTCCTATCCTAGGAATGAGCACACAACCTTGATTAAGCTAATAGCTGATTTGGCTTTGATCTGATGTATTTTGATCATATTATTTTTATGTTAGGAGCCTCTAAATAACCATCATTTCAACAGCGCCCCAATTAGCAGGCCATTCACAATGGATTGGAAATTGACTTGCCTCGGGCCTCTCCATTAGTGCCTGGGAGGGGCTTCCAGCCTTAATTATCCTCCCTGTTTCCGAGGCTGGCGGCTTGAGGGGCTTGCGCGGTGCTGCAGGTGGCTGGCCGAGGGCCGGGGCAGCGGTGCCCACCTCTGCGGGGAGGGCGGTCATCGGCAGGGGTGAGGTCGCTCTCTGTCTTTACTATTTCTTGGGATCCTGGGTATGACTCGGGTGGGGGACCTTGAGGGGGCGATGGGTGTGCCCAAGGAGAGTGGTAGGAAACTGGCTTCTGTTTAACTTCTTTCCTGTGCACAGCGGGGCTTGGCATTTGCCATCCCTGCCCTAAGTTAGTGCTCCCAGAGCTCTGCTGGGGAGAGATTCTGATCCTCGTTTAACAGGAAGTGGAGGCTCAGGAAGGAGACTTGCCTGTAGCCACAGACTGCTGACCGGAGGAGCCCGAACCAGACCTGTGGTTAGATTCTAGGGCGTCTTCTGCTGCCCTGGGGAGCCCAGGCCCAGCCAAGAGGTTGGTGTCCCTGGCCGCCAGCAGGACCGGGCAAGGTGACCAGTAAGCTGAGCATGCTCCTACTGCCTGGCCCCCGTGTCTTTGTCATACTGTACCCCTCTCTCAAGCTGGTCTAAGTCCTCTTTCTTCGAGGCCCTGATGTCACCCTTCTTTGAGCCCAAGGAGCTTCATCTCTCCTTCCTCATGGGCTGAATTGTGGGGGTCTGTCTTCTGGGTGGATCCAAACTCCTCAAAGTTGGGGCTTGATATCCTCTTGCTCTTTGCCCCTCCCCCCCAGTCCACAGTGCAGGTGTTTGCACATAGTGAGGGGCTGGGTACTGAGTGTATGTATGAAACACGCAGGAGGGAAGGAACCAGTCTGCAGGGAGCAGTGGGATGCATGCCCAGGTGGGGAAACTGAGGCTCGGAGAGGTTCAGTGACTTCAGAACCAGGGTATATGGAGCGGGCGCAGGGTTTACCACCAGAGGTCAGGTGATGACCTGGGAGGGAGTGGGACGGGGTGGGTGACGGCTGCAATGAGCACTCTCATGAGTGTCCTCTGCTGGGTGTCTGGACAGGTTTACATCCCAACCATGTCCAGGTTATTTTGTGTGATTACTTCTTCGAGTTAGAAATTCGGTGTATTGGGATTGAAGAAAGTATGTGGATAAGAGAATAAAGAGAAATCCATTCAGCATCACAGCACCTTGGTTTTTTCTTGGCTTTTGGTGATTTCTCTTGCCTTTTCCACAGGCATGCTTTTTACCTCGTTGCAGTCCTGGGGAGCGTATAATTTCGTGCCCTGTGGTTGTCACTTAGCTGCTTCTCAGAAGTCTTTTTTAGACTGGGTGGTGTCTCAGTTCAGCCCCGCCCCTTAGCGCTTGTTTGGTCTCACAACCTGTTATCCGGAAAATGGACGCAGTCACACGTCTTCCGCAGGTGTCGTGACAATAATGAGGTACACAAAGTGCTCAGCAGTATTTGGCGCAGAGAGAATTCTCACAAAATAGTCCTCTCCTCCTACATAGCTTCACAACTTACCCATTATTGGAAGATGATTTTCCTTTTCTAGAAGAGTTATCTGTTCATGACTCGAAATTTTGGCAAAATGTAGAAACGACGGAAAATCAGTTCAGGCCTCTTCTAAAATGCAGTCACTTTTAGCATTTTGCAATATTCTCTTCTGTCTTTCATGCATGTTGTTTTATTTAATTGAGATGATAAAATACATACAATTTTGTATTATTTTCACATAACTATTTTATGACAAGCGCTTTCCCATGTTATTGTAGTATTTTCATAAGTAATTTTAAAGGCTACATATGCTTTCAACAAATGGAGCCTTTTTCATAGCCACTCACCTATTTGCATCTTTTAGATTGTGAGAGGTATTTTGAGAGTATGGATGAATATCCTCTGAATGTTTGGGGAGCTCAAGCCTTTCCCATCCTTTGGATAGGTGCCTAGAGTAGAATTATTGACCAGAGGACATGAAAATCTTAAGGCTTACTGTGTTCTTGCACTGGTCTTTGCTGGGGAACGGCGTGTGTCTAGGGAAGGATGGTGAGCAGGACGGGCACTGCCCATGGCCTCCTGGAGTTTGTGGTCCAGTAGGAGAGACAGAGAGTTACATCAGCAATGCATCGTGCCGGGATGGGGGAAGCGCAGAGTGCAGGGGGAGCTTGAGACAGGGGGTCCTCAGCCAGTCTGGGGATACGGAGTCTGAGTCTCGAGGAGTGAGTGTGAAGGTTCAAGAGGCAACAGAAAAGGTGGTGGGTGAAAGGTGGGTGGTTGGCCTGAGTGTAGTGGGCAGAGACATGGGAGGAGCGTGCAGCTGCAGGTATCAGGGAGTCTGCAAGACTGCCCTAAGGGGTTTGACTCTGTCCCCAAGGCCCTTGGGAGCCACTGAAGGGCTTAAACAGGAGCATGACACAACTGGATTTCTGTTTAGGAGAAAACTGCTGCATGAAGCCTGGATGGGAGGAGGGCAGAGCGTTTGCGGGGTGGGGGGGTGCTGCGTGATTCCCGAGAGACTTCAGAGACTCTCATTTCACCACCCCTGCCCCTGCGTTGCATGTGGGGGTTGAGGGTCCAGCAGGGAGAGCAGTGGGCATTTGAGGTGTCGTCCTGCCGATGCTCATGAGCGTGCACAGTGAGCGCCCTTGCAGAGGGAGCCGCCGGCCTTCGGTGTTTGGAAGTGCGCTCCTGGTCTCCTTCTCTCAGCCTTCTCTCAGTCTGAGACATTACATAAACCCAAAGGCTGTCCACCGAAAGAACCGCATTGTCAAAGTTGTTCAAAAGTTTGCTGTCTGCAGTAGATGGCCTGCTGACATTCACAGGCCGTGTTTTGAAATGCATCTGCTTTCCCACATTCCTCTGTCACATAAGCATTATTAATAAACGTTTGCTTCAGAACTGGTGCAGTGGGGTGCGGTGTCAGGAGGGGCATCTTTCTATTAATTGGTCTGATGTCCCCCAAAGATGTAGGTGTGTGGCTTAAAGGGGTGCCCCTCGTGGTTCCTGGATGACTTCTGAAGATGAGCCGTGTGTCCTGGACCTGGCACCTCCCTCCCTCCCTCCAGGTCCTCCTTCACCTAGCTGCATCTTCCTTTGTGATTATCAACTGGCTTTTGAGTAATCCTGGGCTTCTAGAAGCACCTGCTTCATCTGGGGTTTGACCCAGTGTTTTATGATATGAATCAAGTGGAATTGGCCAGAAGACCTGGGGTTTCTTTTTTCTTTTTTTTGGCCTGCAACCTGAGTCCTCTGGGGTAAGTGTTTCCCTGACTTTCTGATGTGATTCATTCCCTTCAGCCCCAATCAGTTCAGTTTAGCCAACAGTCATAGAGCACATGGTATATTCACGGCCTGTGTCTTGGCCTCGGAGATACACAGATCAACAAAACGAGTTCTTGGCTCTTAAAGGGCTCACATCCCAGGTGGGAAACAGGATGGCTCATGGAGCAGCTCTGATGGGTGTCACAAGCAGATGTGGGTGGGATTCTTGTCCTGCATCCCTCCTTGAGTAGCCTCAAGGCTACTCAAATGATTTTGCCTCCCCCCGGCCTCCGTTGACTCATCTGCTGAATGGGTGTAAGAACATGTAGCTGGCAGGGGCCCTGAAAGCCTCAGTGGGACTCTGCAGATGAGAGCCTCTGGCCTGGCCCGGGGTGGCTCTCAGTCTCGGGAGGGAGGCAAGCATCTCTCAGAGGCTCCCGGGCACGAGCTGCCAGGCCTGGGCCGAGTGGATCAAAGTCGGGGCAGTGTTGTCTCCAGGCTGACCTCTCCCTCTCTCTCTCTCTCTCTCCTCTCTTTCCAGCCTGTGACCTCATGACCCAGGGGATTTTGGCCTTGGTCACGTCCACTGGCTGTGCGTCTGCCAGCGCCCTGCAGTCTCTCACAGATGCGATGCACATCCCACACCTCTTTGTCCAGCGCAACCCAGGAGGGTCTCCGCGCACTGCCTGCCACCTGAACCCCAGCCCTGACGGTGAGGCCTACACGCTGGCCTCCAGACCGCCCGTGCGCCTCAACGACGTCATGCTCAGGCTGGTGACAGAGCTGCGCTGGCAGAAGTTTGTCATGTTCTATGACAGCGAGTATGGTGAGTTGGGGGCAGGGGTTGCTCTGGGGCTCCCGAGAGGCACGCCAGGCGCTGGGAGACCCCCAAGCCAGGTCGTTGCTGTGGCGGCTGAGGGCTTCAGGGTGGGCTGGGGGTACATGGCGGTTGGTGGTCCGGGTGGAGTGGGTCTCGGGGTTGGTAGGGCCCAACCTTGAGCTCCGCAAGGTGGGGGAGAGCTGCAGAAACCGATCTGTAGACAGGCACGAATGTTGCCTAGCAACAACACCTTATCATGACAGCTGAAGTTTGAATCATCTTAGAGTTTTCAATAAAATATTAATAAACTGTTGGCAGGGATCCGAAGGGCTGCACGTAGGTAGCGACGGAGGCTGGTGGGCACGGTCCTCCCAGAAGACTCCTCTTCAAAGACTGTCCCTCACACTGGACAGCCATCTGCCCCTCCCAGCTCCCTGGTCTCCCCTCAGTGTCAGGGTCTCAGGCGGGGGCATAGGTCAGGGGCGGGGCACCCCAAGTCATGGGGCCAGGCTGGGATCATGTGGGTATGGCTGGACCTGGCTGTTTTGAAGACCTCCCAGATGAAAAAAAATTAAAATTTGTTTGTTAAAAATGCACAAAAAATGGGCTTTGGAGGAATAGTTTCAGGTTTTCTTATGGCTACTCTGTAAAAACAGGCCCGTCCTAGTCCCAAGATGAAATGGTTTCCACATTTTGTGTTTTTTTAAAAAGGACTTTTAATTTTGAGATAACTGAGATTCCTATGCAGTTAAGAGAAATAATCCAGAGGGATCCCATGTGCCCTTCACCCAGGTTCCCCATGGGCAATGCATGGCATAACTCATATACGAGAAGTAGGATTTGATGTTGATGTGATCCACGGACCTTTTTCACACTTCTCCAGTTTATAGACACATGGGCGTGTGTATTCACATCTGTGCAGTTTTATCACGGGTAAATTCATGTGACTAGAGTCAGGATACAGGGTAGTGCCCTCACCATGATTGCTGTGTCACCTTTCATAGCCACCACCACTCATATTATGTGTCTTTAAAGGGTGGAGGGGGGCTGGTATAAGGGTCGGCAGCCCCATGGCTGGGGCCAGGATGGAGTGGGTGGGCCCTCGAAAGTCCTACCTCGTCTCTTGGTGAAATCATTCCTTTGCCAAGAAATGTAACTAAGAAGAGAAGCCAGCATATGTTTGCATTTGCCTAAATGCTCTGCTTCTCTAAGACTGGAATATTGTCCTCAGCTCTTGAGCAAATACGCTGTTTGGAGTCTTCCAGGAGGAATTGGAAGAGCAAAGTCACTGTGCCGAAATGAAGATGAGGTGGTGATGGAGACAAGGGTGACCCGAGGCTCAGGGCACTTGAACTCGACGCTGGCCAGCACCTAGCCTCTCCCTCCCACCTGCATTCTATCCCTGGCTGTGGGGCGGGGGGGGGTGGGGCGGGTTTAGGAGCCCATAGGGCATCTCTCAGGTGCTTGGCCTTTCCTGAGAACCCCTCATACTGATGTTTCAACCTGGGCATCCAGTGTGCTCTGTGGCTGACCTCTGGGGAGGGCTGGATGCTGTGGGGCAGGGTCCACAGGGACCCTGGCCCCCTTCTTCCGACATCTTTGCTCCCCTTACGCTGTGGTCTATAGAAACTCTTCAAACCTTGGTTCTCTCTAAGGCCTGGGAGACAGCAACTTCAGTCACAGGAGGGCAGGTCGCAGCTCTGCAGCCTGCCCACCCTGCCTGGGCTCCTGTAATTCTTGCACCTGATGAATGACACCTGATGGCACTTGCTCAGACTATGTGTTTTTGTATTATTGTACCCCTTACCCTCAGTCAGCTCAAGGATCCAGACCCACGGAGAGGAGCCCTGATCCCTACCTGTCTGAAGCTTCCCCTCTTTCCTTGGAGCAGGCCCCTTGGTTACATGCTCTTACAGACACATGTCTCCTGCTCTCAGCTTGCTCTCAGCTTGTCCTGACAGACTCATGAGGGCTGATCGTTGATGAACGCTGCCTCTCACACCAGGCTGTAAGCTCCAGGAGAGCAGGTCAGTTGCTGTTCACTCCTGTGTCCCTGCTGCTTAGCACCATGCTTGGTGCAGAGCAGGGCCTAAGAAACTGTCAGTGTGTGAATGAATCCACTTATTTATGAGGACATGGGGTTTTCAGACAATTTTCACATAAGACAAAGGAAGAATGGGAATAAAGACAAGGCACCGGATAGTCTGACCTCTGAGGTCGGGGAGGTGGGCTAGGGTGTTTCATTCTGCAGATATATTGCCCTGCCCCACTCCTCTCCCCTCTGACCCAGAACCTCCACAGTCAAACCAAAAGGTGTGCCCCTTTTCTGACATGGACGCTTTTGTTACCTTTGGTGGGGTTGAAGTTAGCTTGCTTTCTTTCTTTTTCTTTCTTTCTTCTTTCAATATTTTACTTATTTGAGAGAGAGAGCACAAGAGAGTGAGCATGAGCAGGGGGAGGGGCAGAGGGAGAGTGAGAAGCAGGCTCCCCGCTGAGCAGGGAGCAGGACAACAAGGGGCTCCATCCCAGAACCCCTGGAACATGACCTGAGCCGAAGGCTCATGCTTAACCAACTGAGCCACCCAGGCGCCCCTTGAAGTTAGTTTTCAACCAGACTGGACTTTATCAGTGATCCCATAAAGACACAGGGTGACCAGTAGCTTTCCCCCAGCGGACAGGCTGAGCCTTGAATGCTGTGTTGAGAAGGATGCTGAGGCTGTATGTGGCTCAGCAACAGAAAATGCCGTGATTGCTCCATGAGGTTTCCATGCTGCGGGGGAGGGACTCGTGGCAGCCTGCCATGTTTGCTTATTCTCCTCTGGGTGCTGGGGGTGAATGGAACACCTCCGCAGGGCCACACATTTGATTGTCGCTGTCTTGAGTGCTGATTTGTTTGGCTTTTTAGGCTTTCTGGAGGTCAAAGCTCTTTCATTGGATTCTGTGCAGGACCTCTTATCTTTATGGGCCCTGGACATTAGTCCCCTGATTTGACAGCCTCTGAGACCAGGTTTGTGCCCCAAGATATTCTCTGTAGACTTTAACCACTTTGACTCCCACCGCTTGTCCTGGCTGTGCCCTTCGTGCACGTCTAGTCTCTGGCCTGTTTTCCTACCTGCCTTGTGTTAGGTGAGCCAAGGTGGTGGAAGCCCTTGTGCCATTTGCTGCGGCACATGCAGCCACCAGAGTGCGGGGTGTGGGTGCCTTCTCCGCATGGCTGGCATTGGCCTGTCTGAGAGCATTGGGTGGACTCATGCTGCTGATTTGCCCAAGACAAATGGTGCCTCCAGAACACCTCAGGGCCCCTCTTCCACCCCACCACTGGAGCACTAGCTGCAGATGAGCCCAATTAAAAAGCAAATTGAGTGTAAAGACTGTTTTATTCCTTCCAAAGTCAAACAGAAGTGGTTTGGAGATATGATGGCTTTTTTTTTTTGATGCTGATCTGATCTGCAAGTATCTTTACATATATTAAATGTATATTACATATACATTGAAGCCATTCAGTGACTCTCTGAGGTGGGATTATTGTTGGCATTTGACAGGTAAAGTACATGAGGCCCAGAGAGGTTCTTTTTGACCTGAATGCCCATGCACTTTGCCAAGGCACCATCCTATTTCTGTAATCTGGGGCTTGCTAGGCTCCAGCTTCCTTTTCCTGTCCCCAGCCAGGCAGAGTTGATGCCAAGAAGGAGGGAAGAGTGCTTTGGAATGGACTTGGCATTCCTAGGCTGGTGTGCTCAGGACTTCAGTGAATGTCACACGGGAAGTCCCACCCTTGCTGGCGGAGGCCTGATTCTTCCCCGTTGGCCCCTCAGCCTCCCTCTGAACCCAGGAATGACCTGCCTCAGGATCGGGAACCTGAGGATGGGGCATTGGAGTCAGGAGTCGAAGGTCAAAGGAGCCAAACCCCTGGGCCCTGAGACAGAAGTTGGCAGAGGGGTGCGAGAGGAGTTTGCATGTATACAGTTTACAAAATGTAAGATGTGCCATTTGGTAAAATTCCATCAAAAATACTTGTATGCTTGTTGTGACAGCGAAAGGGAAAATAGAAGAGAAGCTGACATTTGGGAGAGAAAATCTGTAAAATGTTAAAATACCAAAAGTTTGGATCGAACAGAACAGAGAACTTTCTGACGTGCCACTTCAAATTCTGGGATATTCATTTGTGCGTCGGGGGAGGTGGGTGCCAGAAGCTGCAGCTGCAGTTTTTCTCTAGTGAATACACTGGGATGAGGGCGGCAGTTAGGAAGGAATCTTCGAAATCATTGACTCATTCATTCAACAAATATTCACTGAGTCCCCACCATGTAACGTACAAGGACGACGTTGCTGGGAGCTCATTATAGATGAAGAAACAGACAGGTAGAGGAAGTTGGCTAAGGCTGCCCAGGGCTGGGGTATGAAGTCGGGACCCCAGGGTTTTTCCTCCGTTGTATCCCCAAGGGGGCAGTGGTTTGCTCTTGGCTCCTGGGCCAGCCTGCAGGCCGGAGATGGGTCAGGATCTTATGAGTGGCTATCGTCTACATGTGCTGATTTTTAAATTATTAAAAATAATCAAAAGTTACACATGATAATGTAGATGTCAAGTTAAAAGAATGATAAAAGAATAAACTTCCATGAACCCATACCAGTTTAAAAAGATGCAAAGGAGCCCTGTGCCTGTCATTGCTCTCATGTCCTCCCTCACAGAGGGGACTTAACCACTGTCCTGACAGTGTGCGAACCCCATCCTTGCTTTCCTTGCTAGTTTGTCACACATGCATGGACCCTGCCAGACAGAGTGCCCAGTTTGGCCTGTTTGTGAACCTTAAATATATGGAGTCCCACTTCTGTACACTTTTGTGACTGCTTTTTTTTCACTCAAAATTAGGTTTTTGAGATAATGCATCTGATTCAGGTGGGTGTTATCAATCATTTTTTATGGTTGCATAGCATCATCTCATTTATTATCCATTTTAGTGTTATGGGCATTTGGGTTATTTCCAGGTTTTTGCTATTACAAATAA